TCCGGCGAGAATAATATCGCTGACTCGACGCGCGACGCGACGCGAGCCTTTCATTTTTCACGGATATCTCGCCGCGATATATTGCGGCAAAATGGAAAGAGGACGAGCGAGAGACCGCGAGCGGACGCTTCTCTTTCCATCGGCGAAAAAATTGTGTTGTTCGAGCACAAGCGGTATTATTGTCTGATTTATGTTCATGACGTTGTGTACAGAACTCTTGCGTCTTCGATGAAGAATCGCGTTCTCCAGGATAATTCACTTCGGGGTCTATCAATTCTCCACTCCTCCACGATGTTTTGCACACGTCGCACACGTCACAATTTATTTACGTAAAAATATCATGCTTAATTTAACTTACCGTTTAATTCAATTCAATCCGCTTACTGCTATTTGTATTTATCGTGCAAAAAAATGATCAATAAATGATTTCGGGCGATGAGATTTCGTGTTTCATACACATCGCGCTTATCGAATTGTTTTCAAAAATTATCGTCCAGGATAATCCTCGATTTTTCAGAAATAATCGCCCATCGCGTATAATGATTTTTGCATTGCGTGCGGCGATGCACGGTTACGTCGCGTCGCTCACGGCGACACCCAATGTCGACGCTTGGGCGAGAGGGGGACGGGGGTTCGAAGGGGGGGGGGGGTAGAGAGGAGAAACGGTTCGCGGCGGCAGAAGGGGGTTATATTCTCCGGAACGGATACGATTGGGAAAACTGTCGATAGCGGACGGGCGGCCTCCGTACGCTCGCTCGTTCGCGGGATGATCCGTGGACCAAATTCGTGCCGGAGACGAGGACGAAGACGACGACGACGCCCCTGTGCATCAACGGCACGTAACGAGCCGCCCTTCGTGCCTTCTCTCCTGCCTTCCTCCCCCCCCTCCCCCGCGCTCGAAACGCATCCCCATCATCGTCCCTCCCGCCTCGCAATAAGTGGCCTCGCGGTCGGCTTTAACATGCAAAACGGGCCGGTGTACCGAAATGCAATTAAAATGCAAAGCAAACGAAAGGGAGAGACAAAAAGAGATCCTTTTTAAAGAAAAGGGGAGAACAACGCGTGGGGAAAAATCGAAATTTTATTTACTTAATCTTCCCCCCTCCCCCCCCCCCCTCTCCTTCTTTTTAAATAAAAGACGCGACGTCTAATTAAAATTAATTGCGCCCTAGATCTTTTAGCGAGAATATCACGAGATGACTTACATTAATCGAATCGGCGGATTAATTATTTAATGTATTTTTCTCTCTCCCTCGCTCTTTCATTCGTCGTCTGTTTCTTTCGATAAACGGACGTTTGTCGGGAAGGTTAATTCTGACGATGGGATTGAAGCTGCTCCAGGGATTGGAAAGCGCACCGAGTTTGGTCGTGATCTCGGGTCGCCTCGAAATAAGATCTTACATAATGCTGCTAATAATTCGCGTGGATAAGAAATTCAGCGATTGATCGAAAAAAGTAGGTGCGACACGCTCAGCTTTCTCCAGGTGGCTTTTTCGGGGGCTGTTCGATATTTCTGCGATGGAATGCTTCTTGATAATGACAGCGTCAATACGCAGGTGGGGAATGTAAACATTTTGTCATCTGTTTTTCGACTTTCCGTGCAATTTCCAACTGCGCTTTACGCGCGACGTATCTTCTCGAAGCGCATACATCATATTATATTTACGTTACGTTTTCAACATTAAAAGTCCGTTACCGTAGCATTAACTGGCTCTGAACTGCGAGAAGTGAATTTTTATCTACCTCTCATCGCAAATGCACTAAGTGTCGTAACGAGCAACCTTCGTAAATAAACAAATTTGAAAGCATCTCGAGCACACAGTAGCGACGCGAAATGAGATTTTCAAGAGAAATTCATCGAAGAACGGGAGCGCGAGGAGTGGGGCGGGGGGGGGGGAGGAGAGGGAGAGTAGGGTAAAGATAGAGAACGACGGAGGGAAACAGCCGAAGATAAACGGAGAAGAGGG